TTGCCTTCTTCTGTGTGTGAATGGGGTAATTGTTGGGATGCCACGGAGGAAAACTCCGTGTTGCCTAGACCACGGCCTTGCCCAACACAAGTTATAAATTCGGGCACCGCCGGGAATCGAACCCGGGACCCCAGGATTACAAGGCCAGCGTTCTAACCGCTAGACCACCGTGGCGTTATAGATGCAATGCAGAACTATAAAACAAAACCATTAGTAACAATAAGTTACAGAAAGGATTTAAAATGCCTGTTTTCTCTAAATGCTTCCATCTGAAGTGACCAAACAATCAAACTTAGAAATTAAAAGGTTTTACTTGTACTTGTTTTGCATCCAGTATCTAAAAACTGTGAAATGTACACTCAAATAATTCCACTATTTCTGATTAAAGATTTACACTTATGAAAAAGTGCTTTATATGGATTGTATACTCATTATACTATATTTTATGATTAGGTGTAACGTGTTACCAAACAGAAACCCAAAAAAGGGTTCAACATTGGCTCTGACTATACATGACCTCTAGATTGTGCTGAAAAAACCAAGTTCTGCCATTCATGATCACATACTTGGTGAATTTCCATGATTATGAAGTCTACGGAAGGATAAGCCAAATCAGCCTTGTACTTTTGTTTCATAATTGATCAACAATTTTTTCATGTTCATACCAGAAATATTTTTGTGGAACATTAAACATTTTGGTTATCCACAACAGTGATCATCAAGATATTGTAGATGCGTCATATTGTGATTTATAGTATTAAAAATATATATTAAAATTATCCGTCAATCACAATATAAAATAATTAAATGTTAAAATATCATTTTACGTTCCCTATCGAGTACTCGATTTACATGTGGAACATACACGACATGTTTCGGCTATATATAGCCATCATCTGGTGTTATGTATTTAAACTTTCCACTGAATTACTGATTTTTTACTGATTTTTAATGATTTTTATTCTTCATTTTTCTTATGATGTTCTTGTCCTTTATATTGTTTCTTCATTCGTTGTAGTATCACAGGTTCCTAATATGTTTGTATTTCGTATTTCGTAGTGATGTCAATGTTTTGTATATGGACCAAGAAGTAATATCGTATCAGTATTATGAGAGATCGGAGATGTACTGTACTGTATTGGATCGTGGCTGGTTGCATTGCCATCGAGACAAATCAACGCGACGCAATCCTTCTGCCAAAGTCTGGCTGCTTCGGTTATATGATGACCTCGTTGTTTTTATGGAAGGGTAATGGTAGGTTTGCCATGAACCTTCCAGAAGTTTAGCTACAGGAATATTATTATTATATTATATTATTATTATTATTATAGAGCCGAAACATGTCGTGTATGTTCCACATGTAAATCGAGTACTCGATAGGGAACGTAAAATGATATTTTAACCTTTAATTATTTTATATTGTGATTGATGGATAATTTTAATATATATTTTTAATAGTGATCATCAAGTATTCCTTAACTATATGATGTAAAGCTTTCGTGGTGAAGTAACTCGTAAAATCTTCTCGGCGATCAGCTGTGTCAAATGGTTAAATCAAAACTGACATCTTTTAAAAATTTGATGCAATTGATCACCCAAGAAGATCTTATTTATCTTATTGAGTAATGCCATCACAAGTGTCTCTCAACATCTTGTACATTTATGAGGATATGGTATTAGCACCCAGAAGACCAACACGAACATCTTCACCACTATGAGAACATAATACAAGCAGATGAGCTAAAGACATCTTACCATACAAAGTTCACAGGTCAAGCTACAATGATTTATTGGAGCCATCACAACAAAATATTTTCTAAGATGGTAAAGTTTTAGGAACTGAAACATGTCGTGAAACATGAAAAATGATGGTCTAATGTAAATCGAATATTTCGATAAAGAACATCATTTAATATTTTAAATGTTAATTATTGTAATATTTAATAAGAATTTATTGTGATTAGACAGACAAGATTTAATATATACTTAAAATATTTTCTATTATCCATGTTATTTTTTTACCAAAAAAGAAAAGCATAATAAAATATTCATATTTTTTAAACAAATATCGACATCATATAACACTGTACAGAGCTAGTGCTGATCCTACTTCATAAATTTGGTATGGCTGATAACAAAAATGAATAGATCTAAGATGGCATAATCCTCATTCTGATTTTTACATAAATCAGTCAATTAATTTTTGATACAAATGATGTGTGTGGTTGCACGAGTTCACTTATAAGACTGCAATGAAGAAACTTTATTACTTCACGAGTTTTCTCTGGTTTTGGTGTGGGAACTTCAAAGGTTATTTTATATTTTATTTATTTAGTGTTCTGTCAGACGACAGGTCCATATGAACAGGATCCTTCCATCCTTTTCTCGGACTGGGACCTGTTCATATACGTTCTTGGCAGATGATCCAGAAGTGGTTTGCCATTGCCTTCTTCTGTGTGTGAATGGAGTAATTGTTGGGATGCCACGGAGAAACCGGGGAAGCCTCCGGAGGAAAACTCCGTGTTGACTAGACCACGGCCTTGCCCAACACAAGTTATAAATTCGGGCACCGCCGGGAATCGAACCCGAGACCCCAGGATTACAAGGCCAGCGTTCTAACAGCTAGACCACCGTGGCGGTTGGCGACAAAGGTTACAAAATTTAATTTCCATTCTTATGGTAGATTATGTAGCTTTAACTTACAGCCAACAAAGAGGATTGTATCCCACGATGCACTAAACGCTACTGCTGATTCTTGCAAGTCATCATTAAATTCAAGAATTCGAAAAATCATGGTCAAGCCATTTGATAGGATCAGTCCATCTGAAAATATAAGAAAATTATACAGAACACATGTAGTCACTACGTTGCAAGAACAAAGACTGATGTTCAGGAACAAGAACTTAGAAGAATATTTTGATTTTAGATGGATGTAAAATAAGACTGGAGACATTTCATAATAAGGATCTCAAGTACGTACATTACTTTAAAGATCAGATAAGGGCGAGATGGATCAGACGTGTAGGATGCACGGGTAATTGAGAAATGGTAAACAATGTAATTAAACAATTAAAATTTACATTGCCTGATATGTCAACTGATATTCATGCAACTATTTCTTCTTCTTCTTCTTTTATTACGCCGTCTCCTTTACAGGAGGTTGGCGACATATTGTGAACAGGATCCTTCCATCCTTTCAACTATTTCTTGTGCACATAAATTAATGAGATTTTAGAAGTTCAATATCAACTCTACAAGGTTTTCACTGCCTTATTATCTACTTCTTACAGCTCTCATTAAAACCTTGTGGCCTGTTTGTGCATCAAGCTTTATTTAAAATATTTATGTTGTGGTAGAAGCAAATTAATCGAGTTATTAATAACCAGAGATTATATAAAATCACCAGAAAAATTTGGTTACATAATCAGTGGTTATTATTCATAACTGTAATTTAATTACTATTGACATTATATATGTGTGTGTGTCCATACATACACAAATGCTTTTATATTCTGTACATTGTGGTTTATTACATAATTAAACATTATACTTTAAATGAAGATCTTCAAATATTCTCTTTTTGTGAAGATTTCTGTCTTCTGGGTTGTTGCGCCCTGTAGTATGGTCGATGTTAACCAACGTTTCAGAGGTCATACTGCCTCTATCATCAGGGCGATGACGGAGGCAGTATGACCTCTGAAACGTTGGTAAACATCGACCAGACTACACAGCGCAACAACCCCGAAGACAGAAATCTTCATACTCATCGCCCTGATGACGGAGGCAGTATGACCTCTGAAACGTTGGGTAACATCGACCAGACTACACAGCGCAACAACCCAGAAGACAGAAATCTTCATACTCACCACTGTGAAAACCTCAAATTCTCATTTTGTGCTACAGTAATCACTCATGCAGGATGTTTCTAAAGGAGTGGTCAGATTTTAATACTAGGTATGACACCATACAGTTAAGATACTGACAGTGTCATTAAATAAATCACAAATAGATTTAGTAGTAGGTGAAAACTATGCATAAAAATAGAGGTGTTAACAAACTCTTCATAATGTCTTCAGATTAAATAACTGAAATTCATTCAGCCATGATTGTTATATTCTTTGTTGCCATGAAAATAATTTTCACCAGTAACATTGATTTTGTTTTGTTGGTAACATATTAAATAATTTTCAATACAACTGTAATTCGTTTTCTGAGGCATCCAACGATGTGAAAATAACACTTCGTTTCTTGGCTTTCTTTACTTTTATTATGAACAGTCTTTTACTATCCTATGCATGCAGCGGTAAAGGACAATGCTACATAACAAGAAATCCCAAGTATGATAAATTCATAAGTTTACAAAACAAATTAAAGAGTCTGGTTTTATTAACCCTTTGAAGCCAGAGCTTGCCAAAATATTATTTCACAATTCAGTCCATATAAAAAGAACACCACCACAAAGATCAATTTCTTAATGCTGGTTAGGGAAATATTTGCTGTTTACAGTAATAATCATAAGAAATGTGTTAATAAAAATGCAGATTTACCTATTGCTAAAGCAGGCTGGACATACAGTTACCACAATGCAAAAAAGGGTTAAACTAATCACAAACATGCATTAAAGAATTTTATGTTTCTGATAATCATAACTGCCATACACTTATACAGTAAGCTCAATGGGGTATACAAACTGTTTTGCCAATTTTCAAATTTGTTTTATTAACAATTCAGCATCTTATTACTCAAATTAACAATGCTTTTCTGGTTATTATTAATCTTATAATGTTATCTGGGATTTTTTTTGGATGTACTCACCTCTTTCTTAAAAATTTTATCACTTTTTTTCTTTCATAAAGAATGTATTACATCTTGTCAGTTCAGTCATTGTAAACACTTTTTATGAAAATTGTTTAATGCTTCATTAAATATACATTCACAATATAAAAACATGAGTACACTTTAATTTAAAACTTCATTATAAAATGATATTAAAATAAAAACATTCAAAGAGCTCTGGAAAGGTCTTCAAACACAACAAAGAATGCAGTAAAATTATGCAAAGCAGTCTTAGCAGTCTTATAGGTTAGAACTTCACTTCTACCTTGAAGATTGAGATGATAATTTCCTCCAACATGTTAACCAACTACATATAATCTGAGTTATTTATAGTGTAATTAAATAAATAATAAATAAGCCAACTAGGTTTTCCAGATTACACAGTGTCATAACCTATAAGACTACAAGTGACATTTTAACTGCTGCAAGGACTCATATCTCATGCAGTAAAATTACATCACCAAACACCCATAGTCTTACTTCAGAACCAAAACCAGTTAAAGAAAGCTCATAGGAAGCACAGAAACTGTTACAGAAAATAAATGAGTGTAAATAGTAGTTTTGTTAGTTTGTCATCAGTCTTTTGATTGGTTTGATGCGGTCCTCCATTTTCGCCTATCTTGCGCCAATCTCTTCATTCCCACATATTTTTTACAGCCCACATCCTCAAACATCTGTGTCACATATTCCAATCTTTATCTCCCCCTAAAATAGTAGTAACTTTTAGAACCACTTACACAGCAAACCAATATCAATATTTTTTATTTTGAGGTTAGTCCCTTGTTATCACACTTTTGATTACAGAACACTGTTGACAATAAATGATACTCACAGAACCCCAACAATAAAATAAGACAAGTAATAAAATATCTTAAAATAGATTTCCAAAGAGCAGTGTCCTTAAGAAAATTACAGTTGGTCAACTTGTTAAGAAACAATGTTCACAACAGCTCAGAACTACGCCCTATCTTAAGCCAGATGAATCCATTCCACACCCTCAATCCTATTTCCTTAAAACCCATTTCTATATCCTTGTCCGAGCCTACGTGTACCAAGTCGTCTCTTCCCTCCAGGACTTCTCACTGAAATTTTGTGTGCATTAGTCATCTCCCCCATGCAACTTCCTTGATCCAATAAACCTAATAATATCTAGTGAAGAGTACATGTCATAAAAGCCCTCTTTACGCAGATTTATCCATCCACTCGCTATTTTGTCTCTTAGATCCAAATACTCTCCTCGGACAACTTCAATCTATGTTTCTCTCTTAGGGTTACAGACCGAGAAATACAGACAACAAATCTAAAATCTAAAATTGTGCATACAACCAAAACTATTTACACTTTAAAAACAATTTGTGCCAAACGCGTTTCGACCTCATGAGACCATAATTTTTTAGATATGTCCAGTGTACGTGAATTCAACCTTGCTTTTATGTGTCTGTTTTTTACTTTATATTGCATTCATCACTCTGTTGAGAAATTAATCTTAAAAGAATTTAAACATATTACACGGTCTCATTGTACTTGCTTAGAATAACAAAATTCTGAAACTAATATTTCAGCTCCAGTGTATGCATGGACTCATTTATTTTAAGGCCAGTTCCATATTTTCTATTCAAATGTTGATACTTTCTAATAAGTGGGAATGGAAAGATATTCTATGGTTATGAAACACCGAAGTTACACATTCCTCATGCTCATTAGATTTTATATCTGCAAAAGCAAATGCTTACAGATAATGTACTCAAAATATTTCCAGGTAACAAAATCATGTGTGAACTGGCAGAAAGTCTGCAGGGGGGCCCATGTGGTGTGAAACCAAGGAATCTGTGAGAACTGAGCTTCCCACTTGAGCATTGCGGCATCATACACAGAGTAAAACTCCTCTAACGAGAGCGAGCCACTGCCTGAAGTATTTAGCTCTTTGAACATCAATACCACATCACGAGGTGCTGTGAACAGAACAGAGTAATTGGATAAGCATGGATGTCAATTTCATACAATATCAATAACATAAACATAAACTATTATTATTATTATTCTTCCTTGGTTCTACAACCCAGTTGTGGGTCTTCGCCACCACCTTTTCGGAGTTTTCCTAGTCTTTGAAGTGTGCATTTATTAGTGAGTGACAAGCCCACTGCCTCTGCACAATTTATACTCAATTCTGATTTATCTCCTAGAGCCATCAAGTAGTGAATCAGGGGAGACTTGGGTGAGAAATGGACGCTGAATTTTGCTTACGGAACATCTCATTCAAGCTCGTAAGGTTATTTTATATGAAGATTTTCATCGCCCTGATGACGGAGGCAGTATGACCTCTGAAACGGTGGTTAACATCGACCAGACTACACAGCGCAATAACCCAGAAGACGGATATCTTCATACTCTGATGACGAAGGCAGTATGACCTCTGAAACGTTGGTAAACATCGACCAGACTACACAGCGCAACAACCCAGAAGACAGAAGTCTTCATACTCATCGCCCTGATGACGGAGGCAGTATGACCTCTGAAACGGTGGTTAACATCGACCAGACTACACAGCGCAATAACCCAGAAGACGGATATCTTCATACTCTGATGACGAAGGCAGTATGACCTCTGAAACGTTGGTAAACATCGACCAGACTACACAGCGCAACAACCCAGAAGACAGAAGTCTTCATACTCATCGCCCTGATGACGGAGGCAGTATGACCTCTGAAACGGTGGTTAACATCGACCAGACTACACAGCGCAATAACCCAGAAGACGGATATCTTCATACTCTGATGACGAAGGCAGTATGACCTCTGAAACGTTGGTAAACATCGACCAGACTACACAGCGCAACAACCCAGAAGACAGAAGTCTTCATACTCATCGCCCTGATGACGGAGGCAGTATGACCTCTGAAACGGTGGTTAACATCGACCAGACTACACAGCGCAATAACCCAGAAGACGGATATCTTCATACTCTGATGACGAAGGCAGTATGACCTCTGAAACGTTGGTAAACATCGACCAGACTACACAGCGCAACAACCCAGAAGACAGAAGTCTTCATACTCATCGCCCTGATGACGGAGGCAGTATGACCTCTGAAACGGTGGTTAACATCGACCAGACTACACAGCGCAATAACCCAGAAGACGGATATCTTCATACTCACCGCTGTGAGAACCTCAAGTCTCACGTTATTTTATATGCTGTAAAAATCTATAACATGGGACCATCAGCTTTATTTCCCCTCTGAAGGAAGTTGTGTTATGGATTTTTATCACCCTTAAAAATCCATCGACCTCGGCTGGGTTTGAAACCACGAACCTTTAGTCCAGTGGCGAGTATGCTAACCACTAGTCCACCGAGGGCGACAAACCTAAATTATAAATTGTTAAAAAAAACACATCTTATCATTATAAAATTATGTGAAGATTCAAGTGTCAGGATCATCACCAGATATTTAAAATGCATCTGAAACAACAAGAAACTAAAGTGATTCTCTCATTATTTTGTATGAGCGTGTAATTCTCTGAACATTCACTTTCCTTCCAGCTACGTATAATTTTCAGTGTCAAATAAAGAAATAAGGGAGTAAAATCATCACTTTACTTACATTTCTTAGGTGCATAATACCTCATCAGACCCTCAAATTGCTTAAAACGCATTCTGCTTGGGTTTTGTTTAGATACCAATAATTTAAAAGCATGTTGACATGCCTTGCGTTTATGGAGTAAAAGTTTCCGGAATTTATCACGTTCAATTCTTGTAAATGTTTCATATACTACAGCTAGCATCTGTGGATAAAAGAGAGTTAATTTACTATGCATATTGAACTGAAGAAACTGTTTTAATTCTACTGTATGTTTCTGTAAGTACACTTCTTCTCATACTAACCAAGTTCATGAGGACATACAGCACTGTGCAGAGGTAGGAAACAAAGAATATGGAAAACCACTTGGATCTTGCATACGATGGCATCATAACATCAGGAAAACTGAAAATTTATTCAGTTATTTGTATCAAATTCAATATGTACAGAACTATTTATACTGATGGTTCAAGGTATTAAATTCAACCATTTAAACATACATGTACATGAAAATGCCCTTCTTAAAGTAGTCAGTAAAAATGAAATATAAATACGCTTCAGTATGTAATCTTAATACTATTTTGATACTGTAAATGTATCTTGATAATTTTTTTGTATAGCGAAATTACTGCAATATTTGTCTTGCAGCAATGTCCATGGAATAGTAATTCAATTCGATTCATTATTTTAAGGCGCTGTATCAACCACCAAATGGCAAATTGCAGATACAGCATAGAAAAAAATAAAGAAAAATTACTAACATGAAGAATGCTACCTTAAAATATGCTTAAGCATAACCAAATGATTTGTAAATATGTTGGCACCTTTACACACAGTATTTTCAGCTGATGCACATCTAGCGATGAGACAATTTATACACGAATAACAAACAATAAACAAAGGAAACTACAAATTTTTTAAAAGGAACATAAATGCCAACAGTTTTGAGTAAGGAAGGGCAGAATTTATATCAATCATAAACATTAGCAATAAAAAGTGCATCTAAACAGTACCTCCTGTTCTTTAAGGTATAGAAAATCGAAGGCAATCTGCCGGGTGAGGAGGCTTGCGTGCTCAAATGACCCTTAGGGCTATGCCGGCCTGAGCTTCGGCTCATGGTAGGGTCACCCAAGCCGGACAGGTCTAAGGAGATGCGCTAGACTAAGAGTGATACCCTGGTCCTCCAGGTTGGGGGTTGGGTGTAGGGCTAACAACCTTTCACCTTTAAAAAAAATATGTGTTACGAAAAAAATCAACCAACAAGAGGTGTGTACCGGGTACCGGTTGGGAAACCTGAAGGGAAGAGACCGCTGGGAAACCTAGACGTAGATGGGAGGATAATCTCAGGCGGGATCTATGGGAGATAGGAGTTGAAGGAAACTGGATTTTGTTGGCCCAGGACAGGGTCCGGTGGAGGGCTTTGGTTAATTTGGTGATGAACCTTCGGGTTCGGTAAGCCATCTAGTTATTTAGTTAGTTATAGAAAATTAGGTGTTCTAAGGCATTCTTGTAAGTATAATGAATTCAAGGACAGAAATGATTGTTAATACAGGGCTAAAAACTTCTATTGAATTAGCTCAAGCTTGCTGGCATCACATGAAGTTAGCATATTCCACGCATATTCAAGTTTAGATCTCACTAACATGAAATATAGCACGAGGAGTGAAAGGAGAAAGAAATAACACAAATAAGACCCAACAGATTAAGAGTTTGTAAAAATATTTTGTCCACATGAGGATGAAATAAAGTTTAGTACTAAGAATAATTGCCAGGTCTTTAATAGTATGATTTATATGAAATCCACATAGTCCAACTGGCGGCCCATGCACCGGATCCGGCCCCTGAACATATTTGTTAATTTGTTACTAGTTAGTACAAAACCCATTTATTTTTTTACTCTTAAGGATTTGAAAAATTAATTGTGAATCTCATCTCGTCTGCTGCTTTACATACAAATGTCACGTGTCGGTACGCATTATGTGAGGATGTGTTACGATCAACCCTTCGTTTAGCAGCAACAAAAATAGATGTTGATATTCCGTCACTGGTAAAAGAACATTCCTTTCAGTGCTCTCACTAAAGCCATTGACTTTAAAAGCATAAGATGTACGTTCTACTGGTACAAATTGTTATTGTTTAAATACAAGCTGTTAGAGTAGCGGAGTTCAAATAATTTGTGTAAGTTTTCCAGGTAAAAATTGTGAGAGATACATAAAAACTGTTGCAGGAGTAAATTTAAAATAATATACAACTCTATAGCAGTTTGTACACATTTAAATACAATTTATATTCCAGCATATGCAGTGGTAATTTGTCTTTTCTGAATAAGTATTATTAAAGAAAATACAATTAAAAAATAGTGATATTAGGGGTTTCTTAGCCCTTGGGTCCAGCAGAAAGACTATTCTGGCCTGAGTGAGGAAAAAAGTTGGACCACCCTGGTTTAAGTTAAAGAGTAATCATGTTACTTTTTGTAAAAATGGAAATAACCCTAGTTCTGCTAACATTAATCTTCATACAGTTTGACGTTCACCAGCCAAATTAATTTGAAGTACAAATCTATCATGAAGAGTCTTAATAGCCCAAAAAAATTTTGTCATCTGGAAAAACGAGAAAACTGAAAAATTTAATAATGTTATTATTATTATTATTATTATTATTATTAAGTGTTCTGTCTTACGACAGGTCCATTGCTCTGCCCAAAAAGAGCTCTCCAGTTGTCCCTATTCTCGGCTTCTCGTTTTAATTCCTGGAACGTCATCTTCTTTCCTTGTTTAAGGTCGTCGGTTAGCTGTATCAGTCTTCTTCCCAGTCCTCGCTTTCCTTCAACCTGGCCTTCGGTGATATCACTCAGTAATCCATTTCTTCTCATAATATGTCCCAGCCAGTTGGCTTTCCTTCGTGTAATCTTTGCTCGTTGACTCTCCTCAATACTTCTTCGTTGGTCACTCGATCCGTCCACCTGATCTTCTCTATTCTTCTCCAACACCACATTTCAAAACTCTCCAGGTATTTCTGTTCCTTCTTCCTGAGTGTCCAAGTCTCTGCTCCATACGTAACACTTCACTAGTTTCTTCTTCAAATAATGTTATACAAGTCATTAATAAAAATATTAAATAACAAAGGCCCCACCTCAGATCCTTTAGATACATCAGATAATATTCAAATTGCCTGTGATACGGCTCCATGATAATGAATGCTAGACAGCCTGCTGATTAGGTAACTATGGAAACAGTTACATAAGCAGAAGACAGTGCATAATCAGCAAGTTTATGAAGAAGCAAGGCATGAGGAACAAGGTCAGAATCACTGCTGAGATAAAAATTAATGACATCAACTTGTCTTTATGCTCATAGCAAACTAAGAAGGTAACAAATTCAGGTAACCGAACTGGTAATGGCAGATATCGACTTTCTGAAACCATGTTGATAAGGGCTCAATTTATGTTTAAAATAATAAGAAACATGGTCATATATAATAAATTCAAAGACTTCAGAAAAATGATTAAGAATTTATATAGGTCTGTAATTACTAACAGAGAGTGGTCCCACAGAGCAGGAAATTTATGTTTTGATACGCTAAGATCAAAAATAAACTTAAGAATAGCAACAACACTTCAGAATAACCTTTAATCATAGAACTTGGTATATGATCAAGTTCAACTGATTTTGGTAGCTGCGAACGTTTTATATCATTGTGAACACCAGAGTATAAAACAGAAGCTAAAGATAATATATTCATGAAATGACTGTCAGAGGAAAAACCTTTGGGCAGTGACTGCTACGAACAGACTAAAAATATGTAGAAAAAGCATCAACAATTTCATATGGTACAGTTACTGAAGTTCCATTAACTTCCGGCCGTATCGAAACAGCATATTTCTTCTAAAATTTTGATAGTTTTTTTTTTGTAAAACTGCCTTGAATAGGATTTAAGGTTTTCATCAATAAATTTCAGCCATTCAAGTCTGTTGGACTTAACTGTTGCCTTTACAAATTTGAATTAGAAAGTGAATTTATCATAAAAATATTCAGCCTCAAATATTTTTTTCTAATACAAAATTTTGATTTTTGAGAAAACTAAGATGGACGCTTATCTTCCTCAACAACCGAGAAGGGATTGCGGAGTCCATGGCTTCAGCTAAAGTGACATCGAGTCTATCAACAACATCTACAGAGGATTCTTCGTACAAAGGAGCCCAGTCATAATTAGACAATGCATCATACAGAAATAAAAAGCCACCAGCTGAATATATTTTAAAATAGTTAATAGTAACTATATCTCGAATGTCTAATATGCATAATGAAATAAATCTTATGATGGGGGCAAGGTTCGGCTGTGAAAATAATGAGGTAAGCTTAAGTTCATGAGAGATCGTATTGTTCAAAAGTTACTGGCATGAGAGTGGTCCAGAGATAGGGATTATCTCTATCGATTGGGCCCAATTGAGTAGGTCTACCTGAAGACGGAGATAGCGTCCCATCTCTGAAACGTCATGTAATTTTATGATTTTATTAGACAATGGAAAACATCCAGAAAAAAAATTTATTTTAAAAACGCACCATCATCGCAAACGTTTAGATTTGAGATGAGAGTGGTTGCAACAGTCAAATGATTTATTTTATTTTGGTCCAGTCTACAGTACTTTTGATGTGTTTATCTGTATCTGTATGGATCTAAAAACACAGACATTGCAAATTACATACATTTCATTCATTAACTTACACTGAAGATTATTTTTAATACTACAGTTTCATTGCTTACTTTGCTGTTGTGAGCAGAACAAACATGCTGACAAAACTGTCGTGTAGCGTCGTAAAGTGCTGGTCTCTGGGATCATCCGAGAAAAGGAAATAACCCAGAACAGCGTAGATTGTGACGAAAAATAGAAGTAATCCCATCATGTCAAAAATTGGCGGCAAAGACTGGAAAATTTGTCGTATGAAACGTCTTACGCCTCCGCAGTGACGTGTGTCCACCAAAAATATGGGACGAAGAGCGCGTGTCACGCGGAAATGCGATGACTGCCGTACCAACACTGTCACAGCCTCCACAAACATAATGCCAAGTGTTATGCACTGCAAGAAGCAACAAAGTATAAGGTCACATGACATAATTCTTATTTCATTCCTGCATTTAACAAGCCTGAATGACAAAACTGCAGAATATGACTTGAGTCCCCCTCCACAGCTTTTGAAACCAACTGCTCTTTTGGTTTAGTTTTTGGAGGTAATTATTAACTTTGATCAAGTTAGGATAGTTTCCTCAGGGGGACTCAACCATAACCAGCACTTTTACTACCTTTACTACAAAGCATGCGTACCCAAACTAAGACTAAAAATATCTAATTTTGTACTAAACAATGCATGTATTTCTCTTGTTTTGCTGAAAAGGCTAATAACTGACCTTAATCATAGTTCGTTTATGTTTCAAAATTGTTTTCCAACCAATCCAACGCAGTTTCAAAGTTAGCTCCACTCCAATGATTGAAAGAGCCAGTAGCTCGATGCTGCCATGTACTCCAACTGGAAGCTTTATTTTTAAGACACATTTTAATGAGTTATTAAACAGCTTTATTAATGCATGTAACAAACAATAAAGTGGGAGCAGAGAACTTACTTTAAATAGGGGAAGTGCTGGTTCTTCGACGAATGCAAGGGCGAGCAATATTAACGATGTTGCCAAATCAAGCCCATAATACCACTGGTTATGGACCAACAAATATGCAGGCAATGCTTCAGAGTTGTGTGGGTGTGAATCAAACTTTTCATTGTTTTCTCCTTCCTGGTGAAAATAACCCCGTTATGTTCAAGCTTTACATACGGTAATTATATAGTTCTAATGCATGAAATACTATGTACCTCAAGAAATATTGCTGCTTCATGATAATTCATTTCCCAGTGTTGATCAGCATCAATGTGTGTGTCTCCTGGTGCACTCAATTCGACAGAATTTTCAGTTGATATATCGCGATTTAAGCTAGACGTGCTCCCTATCTCATTGGGAAAATCATCTGCGGTTTGAGAAACCTCATGTTCTGCAACATAATTCATTGACAAGGAGTAACAAATGTCAAAAATGGATGATTTATAACGAAAGAGTACTAAGATAATTTACATGAAAAGTAAATACTGGGATAACTTACTGATGTTGTTAGACTGGTATGAACCTTCAATATTATCAGCGTCATCATTAAATCTTGTATAACCGTCAGCTACAGAATTAGCTCCTCTAGCAGAAGCCATTTGTAATGTCACTTCGTTACCAACATCATAAATATGTTATGTAATGCTTAAAGGCTTCTGAGAAGTATATTTAAAATGCTGCTTGTTACAACTGATTAAGTATGTACAGTATAAAAGTAAATTAAGGTCTCCTTTCATATACAACGTTTTTGAAAACTTGAATACTTATTCTTTCTTATACTCATGTTTTCCATACTGAGTAACAACTGCGATTGTAATTATAGTACCACAGATAATCTGCAGTAGTAATGACAACAACCGGGGTCTATTAGTAATTCGTAACTATTACTAATGCAATTATGCAGTCTGTGGGTTTAACAAGTTCGTTGCAGTGAAAGAGTTGTGTTGGGCTCACTGAATTAATAATGGTTCACAGAGTTATTCAAAGCAGTAATTTCATTTTGGAGTATGTGGCGATAGAAAGTTCGGTGGTCCCAATTATCATTCGGCTCAAATATTGTGATAGGCACAACTATAGATAATACGAAAACATGCGGTACAACCGAGTAATTCTATTGTTTAAAACTTTGTTCTTATTTGTACTATCAAATAATTCTATTAAATGAAGAAAGTCATTGAATGTATTTTTTCGCGTTGCAGTCCTACCAATCTGTTGTTGTTACTCTCAAAATTAAGATACTGAAAATTTGAGTTTCAGAAATGAAATTCAATTTCGTTTCTTAATCATAGCTTCAAAATTTCAAACCATCGCCAAGTTTGTAATGTTGATTGATTAACAATTGTTTTTAGGTTTAATGGAGAATGTTCTACTTTTACATTGCTATGTTTTGGGCGGGATGAATTGGAATAACCTGCAGGATTTATTCCACAAAAGTGCAGTACAGTAAGTATTTGTGCAGCAGTCATTTTATATAGAGTGATTTAACAACAGCTGAAAATGTACACCTGAACAAAGTGGCAGTTACGTGTGGCTCAGATTCATCTTTGCATTTAGTCTACAACCTACTGCCCCTTCATTATGTATCCCTTTTTCCTGAAAGCCTAGAGCAAGGTATTCTCATCTGAAAGAACTTTATTTTGCGTTACTTTCAGTATTTACACCGAGGAAAAGGAGATTGCATGAATGTTTTTGGAACGAGGAAAGTGTGCTTTGTTAATTCAGAAAGAAGTATAAGGCAAAGAAGTTAAAAAAGCTCTGTTTTGTGGACATTGATCCAGTGATGGAGGATCTTTCATCATTTTTGTCTGTAGAGACTGCCATGTGATTATCAGCAGTTATTATGAATAGTAGACAGAAGGGCAGAAGGTGGAAGTCTGAAGACAAAGTGTTGGCTCTGTCTCTCCTTAAACGTATCCCAAGATCATGTATCTTTCTCCATCAGATGAACTTTACTATTTGTCCTCAGTACTGTTCACTTCTAGACAGGCATCAATGCTCATGTGTTTGGTACACTCAAACACTTTCTGCAGAAAATGTCTGGTAAAGATCACTTTATCTTGTCTCATGTTTATTGAAATGTCGATCAGAGAGAACTTGTGTTTCAACTAGATGTTTATTGCATTGAGGGTTTTGAAGATCTTGTTAGGTATGGTAGGACATATACAATTGCAAATCATGCTCTAGCTTTTATGTTCTGTGGCATGCATACAAAGTGAAAGCTACCATTCTCTTACTATCTTAGCCATGGAAACACTAAGGCAAAGATGACTGTGTAATTCTTGAGTGAAGTGAATGTCTGTCAGAATGCTGGATTGCAGGTTGTTTGCTACTGTCTGTGTCATGGGTGCCAATGATGTCAAGGCCGTGAAACTGTTGGGTGCTACCAAAGGGACACCATATTTCATGTTTTTTTAATGAATTGTAACAGTATATGATTATCCCCATCTCTTGAAGTCTGTCTGGGACCTGCAGTTGAAGTCTGAGCTTCTGGGCATCTAGTCTCCTTTCATTAGTAAATGAGAACATATTCTGAAATTATATGAACTGGACAAACCCAATCAGTTTCACCTGCTCAATAAGCTGACACCCACCTCAACCTCAGCCACACTATTATTAAAAATATATATTAAAAGTTACAGTCAATCACAATTATAATAATATTAAAAGATTTAAAACATCATTTAAATACACTACTAGTTTCGGCTACAATTTAGCCATCGACGGGTGTATGTAGTATAAACCTATCACTAATTACTGATTTTTAATGTTCTCCATGTTTCACTGTCTTCATTTTTGATGGTGTTCTTGTCCTTTACTATTTCTTGGTTCGTTGCACTATCACTAGTCATTACTAGGTTTATATTTTGTACTTTGTGTTGACGTCATTTTTGCGCAGGACCAAGAAGCAATATCACACTCGTACGTAAGAGAACGGAGAACATTGGACTGCACAGGATTGTGGCTGGTAACCGACTACATACTACATACACCCGTCGATGGCTAAATTGTAGCCGAAACTAGTAGTGTATTTAAATGATGTTTTAAATCTTTTAATATTATTATAATTGTGATTGACTGTAACTTTTAATATATATTTTTAATATTATGAATCACAATATGACGCATTTACAATATCTTATAAATATCTCAGCCACACTGTTGTTGAAGGCCTCAATGCTCTGATGTCTACAGGTAAGAAACACCGCACTGCATTTAGCTAATTATGATGCTTTGTTATTCATTTGAATAAACTAGGAAAATTTTTCAAGTTTGCATCCCCAGAAGTTAGTTGTGATTATCAAAAATGTCATTATCATTTATTATATATTATGACCCTGTAGATGAACATATAAGTGATATGTGTCTCAGAAATATTATATTGATATATTCAAAATAATTGAATGCAAAATGAGATTAAATTCCGGAAATGCTCGCTAATTTCCGGTTCAAAATATTTTGTCTTCCCGTCTGATTTCTAAGAACCTGAAAATTAAAATATACAAAACAATAATTTTGCCTGTTGTTTTGTATGGGTGCGAAACATGGTCTCTCACTCAGAGGGAGGAACACAGACTGAAGGTGTTTGAGAAGAGGGTGTTGAGGAGGATATTTGGGCCTAGGAGAGAAGATGATGGGGCATGGAGAAAACTGCATAATGATGAACTTAAAAATCTGTATTCCTCCCCCAGTATTGTCAGGGTGATTAAGTCGAGAAGAATTAGATGGGTGGGGCATGTAGCGCACATGGATGGGACAAGAGGTGTGCACCGGGTATTGGTTGGGAAGATTGAGGGGATGAGACCGCTGGGGAGACCTAGACGTAGATGGGAGGATAATCTCAGGCAGGATCTATGGGAGATAGGAGTTGAAGGAAACTGGATTTTGTTGGCCCAGGACAGGGTCCGGTGGAGGGCTTTGGTTAATTCGGTGATGAACCTTCGAGTTCGGTAAACCATCTAGTTAGTTAGTTAGTTAGTTAGTCTGGAGACATCAGTCAAGTAAAGGTAGCAGTCTGGAGATGCAATCTTTTGGTGCCTTGTAATCATGGTTATAGCAAATCACATAAATTATCATTTTTTATTAAGACAAGCCCTGAAATCCACAGCATATTTCAACTAACAAATATTAGGAGCCCAGTTTTTGTGTTGGTCACCAATTTTGCATCCAAAAGATAGTTTATTAGCCTTTATTAGGACAGGCCTTGTTTCTCTCTTTTGAGATGTAAGAGTATACTAGCCAAAAAATGCAGCAAAACACAGAACTCTTACTAAACAACAAAATATATATAAATAACAGTAACACAAATATGTAATGAAAATATGCCTCTCTGGTGATAATAGCAGCTATATTTAGCAGTATTAACATATACCGTTAAGCCGCGTGTGTGTCAACTTTGCCTGTGTGACAGTGAGGATTGTCAACAACTAAACAAAACTTCCTCCTACAATGAAAAATGTCTCCACACTGCCATTCTCAATATTTAACATGTAATGAAGCCTTGAAAAAATTGGTATATATCAGAAAGTAAGGGTGACAGAAGAAACGGAAGGTCATAGCTGGGAATTGAATGAAATTCTATAACATACAGCTAATTTCAACCAGGAATCTATGTTTATCAGTGTTATCAGCACACTGGAATGAAAACAAAATAAATCTTTTAAGTCCAGCAGCAAAATTTTTATCAAGGAAATTACAGAAAAGATGTCATCAGTACCATTTATCATATTGCAGGGATAACTTTTATATAGTTGTTTGGCAGTTCATGTATCATCCATCTGTACATGGTCTGCACACAGTTTACATTTTATTACACCATTGAACATGATAATGCAATGAAATGAACTTGTTTCTGGTTTCTGTATCTTACAATGTTAAGAAGTTGCAGAATCAAGAATTTTTAGTCTGTGTTATTTCCCTGACTATAATTACATTTATCACATTTTAATTCAGGTAATTGCTGAAAGAAGTTAACGCAGTATTGCATGTAGAAGTAATCAAATTGTAATCCTAGCAAAATATAGGCACAAATAAGTATATATTCTACTGCAGCTCTTTGAGAGGCATGTTGACATATTGATTTTTATTGTGATCAACAGTAGGTTCCTGGCTGAGCCTGGTACAAAACCTAGCATCAGGTGGGGGCTTTGGCCATTGCTGTAATTGATTCGTTTGTAGGATGGTCTCGGAAACAGTTGAAAATCAGTAAATGTTTATAAGTTAGAGGTTAACAATCCATTTGTGGGAATAATTGTGACATATTTAATTTTTGTCAGCATTACTTAACTTTCATTAAGGTAGATCATTTACATACATTTCTGCTTTTTTAACAATCGAAGTATGATAGTTTTTATTATAGTGAACATTGTTATGTGATAATGTATGATATCAGAATTATATGATATAATGATGTCATGCTAGTTTGTGTTACTTTCTCTGTTGACTGTACTGTGGAATTTGCCTGTGAAGCATAAATCAAATTAATTCTATATACTGCAATTTCTTGTTACAGATGATGAATCAGTGGTGATAAAATATATTTGTCCCAGAAGTTCGTGCCGTGTAAAATTGGTGTTTTTTTCAGTTCAGTAACATCTAACCTAAAAATCATAATAATGGCTGCTGTAAATGCTGAAAGTTCAACAATCATGAAAACAAAAGCACTCAGTAAAACTTCATCTAAAGCTTTATTAAAATCATGTGGGAAGTTTGAGAACAGAACTTGTTCTGAAATATCTTTCAAGGATTTTCTGGATTTTCTTCACACATCTTATCAAATAAATGAAGCAATTGAAGGTGTTCCAGATGATTTAAGTGAAAAAGTTGATATAGATTGGCAAAACATTACAATGAATGAGTTTATATCATCTTTGCTTGTGGTTAAAGAAGACAGTTCTAACCTAAAAGCGATGTCAGACAATGCCAATAAAATTAATGTCAGTGAGCATCAGAAATCTTTAACAGAGCAATCCATTAATGTTCCTGACATTGGTGTCTGTGATACCCTCGAAGAACATATATTTGAGAAAACAAAGGATGCTAGTTCAGAAATGTCAGAACATAATTTCAACAGTGATGTCTCTGACATTATTACAAACAAGAAAAATTGTGTGGCCAAAGAAATTGTACAAAAAGGCAATATTATGAATGGCGTGGATCATACAACTAAATCGGTGCCAAATGAAGAAATTCCACTTAATTTGAAGAAAACTCCCAGCACAGTTACTTCAGGCCAAGCGAAGTGTAAGTTGCTTGCGTTAGGAAAGCATTCGGAGAGTAAAAGGAAAGTGATGCCAAGCAAGAAGAGTGTTTTATTTGACTCTAAAGTTAAGACAACAGATGAAGAGAACAACAACAAGTTTTTTGAAAATTTAATGAAACGTAAATTAAATGAAGTAATTCAGGAGGGTTTATTAGATTCGATATTGCCATATGTTGTACCGAAGCAAGTACCTACTCACCCTGCTGTGAAGAAATCATTAAATTCAGTCATTAATAAATCACTTTCATTGACTTCCCTTGATAAGTCTTCATCTGGTCAGTTCTCTAAGGACAAGATCGCCACAAACAATAGGAGGAAATCAACAACGGAGTAAGTGACAGATTTATAGCTTTTCTGGGCTAATGAATAAAATAAATTTTAGTTTCTAAAAGATATTTATAAGATATTATAGGTGCGTCATATTGTGATTTATTTAAATAGTATTAAAAATATATTAAAATTGGCCGTCAATCACAATATAATATAATTAAAAGATTAAAATATCATTTTACGTTCCGTATCGAGTACTTGATTTACATGTGGAACATTTACGACATGTTTCGGCTATATATAGCCGTCATCAGGTGTTATGTTATAAACTTTTTAACTGAATTACTGATTTTTACTGATTTTTAATGATTTTTAGTTTTCATTTTTCTTAACATTTTCTCATCCTTCATATTGTATCTTCATCCGTTGTTGTGTCACAAGTCACTAATATGATTGTATTTCGTAGTGATGCCAATGTTGTGTATATTGGACTGTGAAGTAAAGGTTTCAATACTATTAATGAAAATTGAATATAGAAAACAAAATAAATTTTAATATATTTTTAATACTATTTAGTTTCTGAAGTCAAAATTGTAGCAGATATTTTTCTGATGTCACTTTGTACAAATTTATTTAAAAAAACCTGATAAAACAGTTTTCCGTTCGATCAGACATAATCGACTTCTTGGATAATTTTAGGGTTGAAGTGGAGATACACGTGTGCGATGAGGTGAAGAATGTGAAACGAGATTTCCGATGCCCTCAGAAACTTCTGGTTTCTAAAATGGGATATTTTGCTGAAGTAACAACAGGTGAAAAATTATGTAGAATTGCATGATCCGATCCTGTTTGCTTCTCGTTATATCATTCTTGCACCATACAAGTTTTTATTTGAGTACTCTTTTTCAATCCAGGTCAGAAGCTCGAAGATATGGATATATCGGTGCATTGCGACATCACAATATTTGACTGGCTAATGCTTTGGGTGAAGAAAGATTCTTTACCAGAGAACAGTTGGCCAAAGCTTGGTAATTATTAACTTTTTATTCTTTATAATTGAAGCCTGTGTGTGAACATATATCAACTAATGCAACTATCCTGTCCACACTCCTTCCTTTCACAAGCATTTATTTTCCTATCTTCTTGTACTGTACTTCAGCGTGTAATTACGAGGCTCGTCCACAAAGTAAGTTTCCCTGGGGCTGTTTACAGAAACAAAACACAATTTCATGGAAATATTTATTGCAACAGATACAGCAAGTGTCCAGCTATTTTTCAACATATTCGCCACCGGAATTGAGACATTTGTCATACCGTGGGACCAACTTTTGAATACCTGTGTCGTAGAAGTCTGCCGCCTGGGATTGGAACCACTGTGTGACAGCCATCTCCGCCTCTCTGTCATTCTCAAAACGCTGACGCTGACGCTGACCGGACAGGAATTTCTTGAGGTGTAGGAAAAGATGGAAATCACTGGGAGCGAGGTCCGGGCTGTAGGGTGGATGATTAAACACCTCCCAGCTGAACTCCTGCAGGAGACTCGCTGTCCGTTGAGCCGTGTGCGGCCTAGCGTTATCACTGACCGCACTTCACAGTCGGCGGGAGCTGGAATAAGAACCTCCATCTTCAACAGCTGCAACGATGCTACTGTGAGAACGCGGGAAGTGCCGTTAGTGCATGCGCCATGCTACGTCATTGCTCTATCACGTACGCACAGTCGCTTCGCGCAATATAAGGTTTGCTAGCTGTGGGACGAGTGGGAAACTTACTTTGAGGACGCGCCTCGTACATGCAAGCTCACTTTTAAAATGTCAACTAAATTTTACCTGCCTATAGTTTTTAATTGTATTCACAGACTGAAAATTCACAGAAGGTCAGAATTTTAGGTGACTGAATAAAGAATTGTGTGGAAAAAATTATTATTTTCTTTATTCATAATATTATTGATAACATTTTGTGTTTCATTATGTTGTCTACATTCCCAAAAAATTAAAGAATGTGCTAGTGAAAACAAAAGTATAAATGTTAACAGTAATTCAGGGGTTGGGTAAAGACTGGCCACGGAAGGCAAGGCGAAACCACTGTGGTACTTCCGCAAGAAATCCCCGATGGGGTCACGATGGTCAAGCTGACTATAGATGATAAAAAATAAATTCAGAGTTTTGTGTGTTTCTGTACGTATGAGACCATTTTGTATTTTAATGTTAAGGTGATATTACTGACCATATTAATCCTATGGAAATATCAAGTCATCTATTTAAAGCTTGAGGTTCTCATGACAGAGAGGATGCTGATTATGATATTTTGGGTTGTGTCACCATTTATTCTTCATGTGGTTACCAATGTTTAGGAGGAATATATTACCTCTATCTTCTACCCTGAAGATAGATACAGTATGTTCCTCTGCAACACTTTTAACCACCTACAATACTACATCGTGTCAGAACTGAGAATTCCATGATGTGATATGTTTCACTCACTCGCTCTATGGCGCAGGAAATTATTTGAAAAGTCAATTGTGTACGCAGCTTGTCAAATAATAGGAGTTGGTGGACTAATAGCTAAGTGCAGAATACAATACACCGACTCCTGTGAAAGCAACATTCGGTGAAGTGTTACTTAATATAGTTTTGTAAAGAACTCGCCTTTATGATCTGTTTAAAACAATATTCTTTTGATTATATGAAATAATCCCCCCCATTTGCCACCGTTGATGACCTCTTGAGGTCGAAACACATTTGGCACTAGTGTCATTTATAGTGTAAACAGTTTTTGTTTGTATGCTTATTTGTATATCAGTACTATAGCTGTAAAAAATTAATTTCTCCCGTTTACAATTCATAAATGTTTCTGTATACTTGTGCTTATTGGAACTACGGATTTGGCACGTGAGTTTTTCCGTACTATAACAAATGTGTCTTGTGTTGAAGATGCGGGTAATGTGGTGCCAATCTTGGTATCGGCGGCTTTCCTGCAGATGGACCCACTGCAGCACGATTGTCTTAAGTTCTGCCATCAGCATATGAATGAGATAGCAAAGACTTCTACCAACCTGGCCTGCCTTAATGATAGTATCCTTACTAGGTACGCTACTTTTGCGTTCGAAGGTTTAATTGTAACTCATCTTTATCGACATCATATTAAAAATCGAAATGAATTGCTTTAGGCCTTCACTCTAAAAATATGTCTGAGTCGTGGTGCAATGCAAGTGGTCCACAGTCAGTATGTTTCTCAAAAATATCTTGTGTCAATAGAAAAGAACCGTACTGAAACCGGGGAAGCTCCCGGAGGAAAACTCCGTGTTGCCTAGACCACGGCCTTGCCCAACACAAGTTATAAATTCGGGCACCGCCGGGAATCGAACCCGAGACCCCATGATTACAAGGCCAGCGTTCTAACCGCTAGACCACCGTGGCGGTTAACTTAATAATATGTAATGTAAAAGAAATAGGAGTCACATTTTTCATTACGTTATTTTATTATTAAAATTTTCTTTTGTCTAGACTAGCAAACCTCTTCTCCAACTCCGATGTTGAAGGTCTTCATGATAAGAAGGACAAGATTCAAAGCCGTTTATACTGCAAGCTGATTTTGGCCTTAACAGAGACAAGTCCTGAACCTGCTCGTGGCCATTTTTCCAGTCTTGCAAGCATATACAAATGTGGAAAATGTGATAAACTCATTCTACATCAATTGGGAGGGCATATTCCATGCAAACCAAGCAATATGAAGATGGATTGTTTTGGAAATATTCATGGAAATCATACTAGGTAATCTGTCACACTGTCTCCATGCTGTGTCATTAACGAAGGTAGTCTAGTAAATGACCTGTTTTGACCTCAACACTAGGTAGGATTTGAGGTTTCTATGGCAGTGAGTCTGGATTGTAAAATTTACCAACGTTTCAGAGGTCCTTGCTGCCTTCATCAACAGGGCAACAACCCAGAAGACAGCCATTGACAACAAAGAAATCTTTAAAATGTACATTGTAAGAGTATCAGGTACAGTGTTTCAAAATATAAAATTTATAAAGATTTCTGTCTTCTGGGTTATTGCGCTGTGTAGTCTGGTCGATGTTAACCAACGTTTCAGAGGTCATACTGCCTCCGTCATCAGGGCGATGACAGAAATCTTCATATTCACCGCTGTGAGAACCTCAAGTCTTACATATAAAATTTATGTTTAGGGCAACATTTTACAATGCTCTTCTGCGACCCTTTTTTCCTCTGTGGAACTGAATTTCACTTTATTTTGATACGCAGTTCTAATTATTTCCATGTAGTTACATTAAATAAAATTAAGTTGTATGTCCGATGACTTGCTGGTTGGACTAAATTAACATTTAACTGAATTACTGGCAATTTGGGCTCTGACAGTACTAAATGTTGATCTATCAGTATGTATAAAAAGGTATGAACTTTGTAGTCGCTGTTATATATAAATGACTTTTATGTTTGGCAAATTGTTAATAATAAATATCCACTTTGGTTCCAAGGTTTGAGGTTTGGCCCGTGAAGATTATGATAAATGTTGGAGTGAGAATTATATGGAAATATGAAAACTTTTCATCAAGATTTTACTCGGAGATCTTATTGTACGAATTTGCTTTTTTTTTGTCACTAATGCCATACTCATGTCTGCAACGAAAGCAAAATTAGTCTGTTATTTCAAAATCTAAAAACTAATGTGCAGTTTGAAAACGTGTTCCAAGCACAGTTACTCCTTAGGAAATATTTTTTTTTTAATAACAGGGTTTACAGGGGCAGCAGTTTTAATGCAGAAGAAGTCTGGTGATTGTGGTGAGAGACAGAGATTTTTTATTGGGATTGCCCAAATTTTTTTTCGCATAGCCATAAAAATAATGCTGCCTTCACCGCTCACCTGGCGCTCGACTGGAATCAGAACGGAGAAGTTTATTTTATTTTTATAGTTACTTTTATGCTCTTATATTTCATGATTTATGCACTTCAACTAGTATTCTTTGGACAAGTAACGTTTGTCATATGGGTATAGGGCACTTTCACACCTGAACTAGGAGGCTACTTGCTGCTGTACTTGAACTATGGGATTTATTGGTGTTTAACTGTGATGCAAGGTCCGGCATGCCCTGCTGGATCACGTGCAAGCAGTGACGAATGATAGACGAGCCTTGGAACATGACGCGGAAACAAATGATACAAGAAGCATTTGATGTAATATGAAGACCCATGAAACCCATGTTTTCAGACTGTATATTTATTTTTGTGATAGCTCTCTTAATCGAAATGGTTCTGAATCAAAGCTTTCTACAGTAAGAAATAGAACAGAAAATTCTGATGTTAGCGTTTATCAATTTTGAACACAGGCCTTGTCCATGATTACGGAACATTAAGAATAACGTATATGAACAGGTCCCAGTCCGAGAAAAGGATGGAAGGATCCTGTTCATATGGACCTGTCGTCAGACAGAACACTAAATAATAATAAGATGAGGTGGTCTAGCGGTCAGAACGCTGGCCTTGTAATCCTGGGGGTCTCGGGTTCGATTCCCGGCGGTGCCCGAAGTTATAACTTGTGTTGGGCAAGGCCGTGCTCTAGGCAACACGGAGTTTTCCTCCGGGGGCTTCCCCGGTTTCTCCGTGGCATCCCAACAATTACTCCAGTCACACACAGAAGAAGGCAATGGCAAAACACTTCTGGATCATCTGCCAAGAACGTATATGAACAGGTCCCAGTCCGAGAAAAGGATGGAAGGATCCTGTTCATATGGACCTGTCGTCAGACAGAACACTAAATAATAATAATAATAAAATGCCTATATCATGTGTTAATAGAATTGAATGCTTGGAAATGCTGACAGTGAACAGAGTACTTGTTAAGTTAATTTGTGCTATGTGTGACAGCAATAACAACATTCTTGTAAAAATTGAATTTTCTTTTATCTGATTGGACAAGATTGTGGACTTTCTTCTCTTTTGTTTTTGTGATTTATATGGACAACAGTGTTGAATGCTAAGAGATGGGACATGTGGAGGAATACACATTAATAGAACTTTCATTCTACGTACTTTGATGTTATGGACAGTCGTGCAGTTACAGCCAAGGCAGAAAATAATTTACAGTTAACTGTCTCAAAATTTGACATGTCACTTTCAGTTTAAAAAATAAAATCATGGTCCATTTAGGTAAAGGCATTTGAGGTTTTCACAGTGGTGAAAAGTGGCTTGCAGTCTTCTGGGTTGTGATGTAGTCTTGTAGGTAGGGCTATCCTGAAAATGGAGTTGATATGTTCCTCTGAAATGTTGCTAACCACCTACAAGATTATGTAGCATCACAGTCCATTTGACCACCATCCACAAAATTTGCACCTGTAACAAAATAGAAAATACACATGATTACCTGAGCTACATGCCCTGCCCTACTCATCGTCCTTGACTTGACTAGTCTAATTATATTTGGCGAGGAGTACAACTTATGAAGCTCCTCATTATGAAACTTTCTCCAGTTTTGTAATAATTCATCTCTGTTAGGTCCATAACCCTGTTCTTAAACACCCTCGGTCTACACCCCCCCATTCCCCATAGTGTCAAAGACCAAGTTTTGCACCCATACAAAATTACAGGAAAAATTGTAGTTTTATATTTTAATCTTTACATTTTTAGATGGTAGATGAAAAGGCAGATGGTTCTGAATGGTAAACATCTTCCATACTACACGGCGGAACAACCCAGAAGACAGCAATATTCAACTTTACTATTCTTATAATCTTTTTTTATCCTCGCATGAGCACTTACATCTCGCAAGAGATCTGTTCCATTCAGGTTTTCCTTATAAAATTTTGCATGCATTTCTCACCTCTCCCATGCGTGTTTCTACTGCTTCTTCCTTGCTTTTGTCTTTTATCCCCATACCTACGTCTCAGTTCCGTACTTTACCATCGATTTAAACAATATATTAATCGGTATTAACCAGTCTATTATGAATGCATTGAATAATAATAATAATAATAAAAAAGAATTGAATTGAATTGAATATATATGTAACATGAAATTAATTTATATCTTAATTGCGTCATGTTTGTGTTTTATTGATACAATATTTTTATTTTCCGTCTATACACAAACTTAAAATAATGTTGTTTAAAATTATTTAAAATTATAAAAATATTGAATGAAATTCATATTGTGGATGGGAAGAGTAAAATTTGTATTGTTGTGTGCAATTAGCATTTTGTTTCAGGGACCGAAGCTGGAATCTGAACGATTATATACAGAGCTTAAGGCAGGATCTAGAGAGTTGGCGCAATGTGTATTGGCGATTGTGGGCAGACTGTCACTTTCTTCACTGCGGTGCTTGCCGTAATTACTTCCCAGTTCATCAGATGCAGTGGTGCTGCCACCATCCAGAGCCACCACAGTTCTTCACCATGGAACACCAGCGTGCTATGACGTTCCCTATCGGTCGCTATCCTTGTTGTGGGGAAAGAGGATATCGCTTTGAAGTTATAAAAAACCTGTCAGTGAGTATGACGGCCATTTTAACATTAACGTATCTAACCTCTAGCTTGTTGGAGATCCTTTTGCTGGCCAAATAAATTGTATTTGAATTACGTTAATATATATAAATATAAATATATAAATATGAGACAGTGAGTCTGTCTTCTTCTTCAACTTCAAGGATGTAGCCCACAGGCCTGTTTCTGACTTCAAGAGAATTCATCTTGCCATCTAGCTACAGGTTGTCCAATATTTCAGTATCCTCTTGTTCTGTCCGTGGCTCTGTTATACCAAGATATTAAATTAATGCTTAAATAGTATTAAAAATTATATTAAAATTGGCCGTCAATCACAATATAAGATAATTAAAAGATTAAAATATCATTTTTCGTTCCGTATCGAGTACTCGATTTACATATGGAACATTTACGACATGTTTCGGCTATCATAGAGCCGTCATCAGGTGTTATGTTATAAACTTTTTAACTGAATTACTGATTTTTAATGATTTTTAGTGTTCATTTTTCTTATCATTTTCTCGTCCTTCATATTGTATCTTCATCCGTTGTTGTGTCACATGTCACTAATATAATTGTATGTCGTAGTGATGCCAATGTTGTGTATATTGAACTGTGAAGTAAAGGTTTCAAAACTATTAATCACAGTCGGCGGGAGCTGGAATAAGAACCTCCATCTTCAACAGCTGCAACGATGCTACTGTGAGAACGCGGGAAGTGCCGTTAGTGCACGCGCCATGCTACGTCATTGCTCTATCACGTACGCACAGTCGCTTCGTGCAATATAAGGTTTGCTAGCTGTGGGACGAGTGGGAAACTTACTTTGTGGACGCGCCTCGTACTTGTTACATTTGCGGCTTATGTGCAAAATATATTTTGAAACCAAACTGGATAATTGCTGTATTTGGTATTTCCATCCCGTCAGCCAACTTCCTTAACAGTTGAGGTGTTTTCACTCCGGTAAATATTTAAGAGCTCTGTTTATTTACAGTAACAAATTTGTGTGTTTCAGGGTTGCCAATTCAAAGAGCATACACCTGTTCTCGACTCTCCTAGAGATATTGAAGTCCACAAGTTGTTTATGAAACATCATAATTTGATAATATTGGAGCCACAGAAACTTCAATTTCCTGTTAGTAACAGAGGTAAACAGTATGCAGGTTTACAAACAGTAAATCATGTGAGAAATGATATTTTAATCTTTAATTTCCTATTCTACTATATCACCATATAATTAAATGAGTATTTAATTTATGTGCAATGGCTTAAAGAAATTTTTTATTAGTCGAGAACCCATCTTGTCCTGCATGAAGATAGGTAGCGTGGGAACAGTCTGTCTCATGAGTAATTCTTGATACTTGGACAAACATTGTTCTTTTTAGTACCTTTCCACCTGTTTTTATTAATCTGCCGGATTTTATCTCAAGTCATTTGTAGACAGGAGCATATACGAGGTGCGATCGGAAAGTTTCAAGACTGTGTCAATAGAGGGCGAACCGGATGTAGTACGAGCTTCTGCCACTAGGGGGTGCGGCCTACATTCATAGTGAATCAGTGTGCCAGCCGGCATCATCGAATTAGCATTTGTATCTTAGTTACGGGCGTTTTGGTAGTGCATTACACCGACCCTCCTGCGATTTCGGAATGGCGTGTGCATCAAATTTTGCCAAAGACTCGCCAAAACGGCTACGGAAACCTATGAAATGCTAAAGCAAGCATTTGGGGAGTCCGCAATGGGTCGTGCACAAACTTTTGGGTGGCATTCACGTTTTAAAAATGGCCGAACCCCTGTCGATGATGACGAGCGTTCTGGACAACCATCTTCGAGCACAACGCCCGAAAATGTTACGAAGATCGACGTCGTACCATCAACGACTAATGCGACATTGTTGGGATAGGCTATGGGACATGTCAGCTGATTCTAAAGGAAGAACTCCACAGGCGACGCATCTCCAGGGATGCTTCCAGGCTTGGCAGCGGCGCTGGGATCGTTGTGTTCACTCCCAGGGGAACTACTTCGAGGGTGATGGATGAATTTAATACCTGAGATAAGTGTACGGGTTTTTGTACGTGCAGTCTGGAAACCTTTCGATCGCACCTCGTAGCCCTGGAATCTGACATGCCTTTAAACCCAGAAAGAAACATTTTTGGTTTTCAAACAACATGGGCACTTGACAGTCATGTGATCTATAGAATATTAATTTTTCTTTACAGGATTAGACAGTAAAGGCAGTTTCATTATATACATGTATTGTCTAACTCTCATACCATTTTGTTCTAAACATAAATATTGCATTTACAATGTGATCATCTGATTTTTGAAACCATGTGGTTATGTTTAGGGTAGATAATACCCTAAAAATGAATTCAGCTTGTTAGGACAGTTCTTTTGCTCTGATTTACATAATTAGCATAAGTTTGAGTTGCTTTATTAAAGTGCAAGGCAAATACATTGTTATTTCGTAATATGTTTGACAACTCTGTCCTTTGTCATGATCCCATACCCTCGCAAGATGTTCCTCAATGGTAAATGGACTTCTGTTCACCGTGAACAATTTCAGAACACTTTGAAATATAAGAAAAGTTGTTGTTACAAAAATCGTGTCTATAATAGCACTTTCATGAGAGGAAAATTCACAGCCAGTGTCTAATTTCTACCGATTATTGCAATTTTGTAGGATTTGAGGTTTTCACGACAGTGAGTCTGACAGTTGCTGTCTTCTGGGTTGTTGCGCCATGTAG